AAAGATTGAGAGAAGGCACTATTCATTCATGCACCATAGGATGCGGTGTTCCGTTTCCATTTCAGGTGAAAAACGACCGACAGAAAAATTCCAATAAAAACTTCCACCCTCCCGAAAGTGAATGAATACACACAAGAAACACATGCACATACAAATTTATGTGTGTGTGTGTCTATATCCTTAGCAAACGTAGTAATGAGTCATAAATTATTTGAACGTAAACCATGAACGAAAAATGCAGAGACGGCAAAATGGTCGCATACCGTGCGCCCATACACACTTTCCGCGCAACCGATGAATGTGCATGATGATGAACTACTTTATATCGTATCCTTCACCTTCGTTTGCTGTAATGCGTTTTTCCGTTTCCATTCTCTGTATATAAACTTCTTTATGCCCATGACACATCGATTTACGTTGTGTGTGTGCGCGAGTGCTCTTTGTTTTGGGCTCATTCACTGTTAGGCTATAAACTTTGCTACGAATTTAGTGTCGGACGGTCGTTTTGCATTTTACCTCTGTGATGATGAGAATGGGGAGCGCATAGGTGTATGTTCAATGTGTAACAATCAAGAAATTGAATATTTTTATCGGTGAAAAAAGAAAGACGGGAGGAATGAATTGTCGGTGGCAGCAGCGATAATATAATGACGTAAAACGCACGCTTCTTTACTGCCGCACCGATACTGCTCGAAATAAGTATTCGGGTGTTCACTGCTCGAAATAGGTGTTCACGGAGTTTGACTTTGAATCCCAACCAAATTATTATTGCTTGATAAAAAAAAATACGGAAAATGTAAGTAGATCTTCGCTCACGATGGCATACAGCATAAGGACTCATTATATATCTGTTGTTAATCCAAGCGAAGCATTAAACAACGTAACTCACCGAAAACCTGCTGCAATCTGCATTTTTCGCATGATTAATGCACACAGACAACGCCATCCAAATATAAAACGACCAACAACGCTGAAATTATGATAAATACGGTCGAATGATGATGATGGTGGTGGTGGTGGTGATAGTGCTTCGATTTATTAAGAGAAAAACAAAAAAAAATATATTCACTGTAAAATTGGATGTAATTCACGAACATTCAATGCTATCTGAGATGCAAGATGCACACTTGAAGCAATGCCACACCAAATTTTCAGATTCTTTTACAACATTCAATACCACTTGTTTTCGAGACGAGCGCACGCCAATTCTCATTCTCTATCTCATTCTCATCTCATTCTCGAACGCTCGAGCGTTATTCGCTGTACCATCTTCAGCAATGGCACATTCAATTTTCATTCTTTTGGTTAAAGTTCGAACGCTATGAATCCAAAACTTCCACTTTCAAGTTTTGTAACCACAAACTTTACTACATTCGGTTGCTTTTGATTCTTTTTCGTTTTCTTCGTTAACAAGTGTTTATGTTCACTTTGTTGTCTGACTCATCATTTTCGTGTACCGAGAAATTACAAATTACTGTAATGGATCGAACGACAAAAAAAAGAACACACACACACACAACACGTTAGAATGAAACACAATGAACTCAACAAGTTTATCCAGTCGCAGAAATGTACACATTCCTTCCAAATTTACACACAATATCGCTTTGTGGTCGCTTTCTATTTTTCGATGATTGAAGTAGTTTTTGTTTCGTGTGACTTTAAAATTGGTTATCATTTATCAATGGCTTAATTCAACGCAATGGCATGATTCAATTTTGATTGTTATTAAGAAACCCATCGATTCCATGGAACATTGTCATATAGACAACTTCATCATAATTGCCAAATATTAATATTTATGACTTTCAATTCGATTTTAATGGCCAATCATTTTCCGTTCTCTCTCTCTCTCTTCCTCTCTCTCTCTCTCTCTCTTTTTCTTTCGATTGAATTAATGCAAAGAAGACGATTTATTCAATTCGTAAAGACGATATTTGAATTAAATTGCAATCTTTATTGATTTTCAAAGGCATCGACTGAATCAACTTGTCTTGATATAAATAAAAATGGAGAAAATTGTCTCAATAAAAAAGAAAAACAAAGTACGACCATTACGCTGTCAAGTAGTTCCTTTTTTTCTCATTCGAAATGCACGATGGAGTGGCTTTATGGTAAATCTGTAACGATGATAAATGTTCCGTTCTTTTTTTTCGTCATGAACTCTTTCCATGCAATCTAATGTCATAACGGCAATGACCATTTGCTCTTATCGTAATCGGTATTCTGTGTGCAATGCACCACTCTATACACACCGTTCCAAAAATGGGTTTGCGTTCTTTTTTCACTCGTCACCATTGCATATGCTGGTTTAATGACATATTGCTGTGAACCATTAAGAGAGATGAAACGAGACAGAGAAAAAGGGGAGAAAGAGAAATTAAAAGAGAGATAGAGAGTGAAAGATCTGAAGAGCGTTGGAAAAAGCAAGAAAAAGAATTTTTCAAAAAAAGAGTAACATCAAACGATCGGTTTCACTCAAAACAGGAATGAAAACATAAATTGCTGGATATAGAAAGCAGAAAAAAAATATAGAAGAACATATCGTGTGTATGTCACATGCGTTGGTCATGAAAGCGAAATATATCGCCCGTTTAAATTGACCATTTTCGGAAGTGTGGAGCGAGAGAATATACCATTTTCAACTAGTTGATACGCGCCAAACCATTCTTGGAAAACGGAAACCATTACCGAATCACTCGGTTATTTTGTGTATATATGTCCCGGCCAAATGTGTTCATTGCCAACTCGTTTACCTCTGTATAGTGTGTGTGTGTGTTCGTATATGTAGAAATATGTAAATGAAATTACATACATTGACCTTTGACTTGACTTCACTCGTTCGACTTGCATCATCGTGTTTTTGTGTGTTGGCCATTGCATGTAACAAATGTCCATGGTTTAATATCATTTATCGCTTCTTTAGATCCATTCGGCTTCCACAAATCGACCTTATCCACGAACACATTCATGTTCCGAATTAAATGACAAACTCTATATCTCTTTCACAAACAATGTAAATAAACTCTTTTCATTCCTTATGATTAAAGTCATTGATGTTTACATTATACGATGTTTATTTCTCAGAGAAACTAATAATTTTTGTGTTGATCGTTTGTTTTTTTATCAATTTTGTTGTTATTTCTTTCATCCGGCTATCATAATAATCACAATAATTAACAATGCAACAACATTTTGACGAAAAACAGAGAGCAACAATCATAAAATTGTCTAATTTATAGATTAGCTTCATAGTTCTTTTTGTAAATTTACAACAAAGACCAGAGCTACGTAAAACTAAACACAAAAGATGATCGTCTTTTTTTCAGTTCTTCGAGTAATTCTAGCACTGTGTTTTTACAATGTTGATGAACCGTCTTCAGAACGAAGCAGGTGAGACTTTACACAAATTAAAGCGTTCAAATGTATACAAGCGAACGAGCGGGCATGTGTTTGTGTGAGAGAGAGAATGAGTGAGAAGGAGCAAGAGGTAATATGTATAAGCGAGAATAAATAGGAAAGAGATAGAGGCAGTGAAGGAGAAAGACAGCGATCTAAAAGCGGCAATGAAAAAGAGTGAAAGAGAGACGGCTACTTAAAAAAATAACACGATAGCATAAGACGTATATATGTACGTGTGAATAAATAGCGATGTACCGTAGACGGTTTAAATGGTTCGGTTTGCGTGAAATAGTGAGTCAGCAAGTGAATAGAAGTAGAAGAATGTGTCTTGAAAATAGATGTATGTAAAGTGAAATTCATGGGAAAATACGATGTTAATTAGTGTGTATGTTAGTTGGGCTTTTAGTTGGTACCACATGTGTGCGAATCGAATGAACGAAACGGCATTTCAAATGGTGTTCATCGTCACTAATATGCATATATCTGACGAAAAAAAACATGCGTTGTCGTTCGATGGGGCTGGCGTCTTTAAATCGAAATTTCAACTGTACACGCACCATGCACTTCACATTGTCATTTTGTTCATAGTGGTATTATTAAGATTAGAATGAAAAAAATGCAATCAAACTAATTACAATATATAAAATGATCAAATTGGGCATTCTTCAATCTAACTTTAGATATTTTCTTTGTTCAACTGTTCTTATTATGTATGATTAAATGGCCCGGGAGCTTCGTATTCAGCAAAAGTGCAATGCGATCTAACAAATGTTAATTACCGTTATATTCAATGCACCGTAATTTACGCAAAATAATATAAAAATAAAAACATTACTTTCCAAGAGTCCAATGAAATGAGCGCTTTTGTATTTGCGGAAATAAATTTTATTTTTTGTTTCGTCTTGAATTAGATTCAAGTTGATTTAATTTGAACTGCATATAAATCGATACTTGGTAAAAGAGCAAGTGATGTATAATTATGAGTTGCCATACATTTTTTATGACTCTCGAATGAATATATTTTATGGGGCGTCTTTGCACAGTTAAGACTTCCGAATATAGACAAATTCGCTAAAAATGTACATTGAAAGACACAACAAGAACGAGATAAAATGAGATTTACGTGAATTCAGCACGCAGCACATTGTTCTAGTTCAGCCATTTGACATTGTATTTACTTCAATGTTTCTAGTTACGGTTTGCTTAATGGTAACATTCACCTTAATATTTTACATATTTTAGATGGAAAAAAATAGCAAACCATATACGCAATAATAATTACCGCATATTTTCGTGATGTTCAAGAGCTCATCAAATGAAGACGATTCAATACGCATTACGAGGAGATTGCAAATGGCAAACAACAACAGAAAAAAACAACAAAAATCGCAGTAAATTTTGCTGGGGAGCTAGAAAGCGGAGGAGAGAAATATGTAAATAGATAAAAGGGAATGATGAAGGGAACGAAAGGGAATGAAAGACAATCACGAGAGAAAAAAAAGCATAGTTGATCCTAACTCCATGAATTATGTCGTTGAATTTAATTTATGGAAATGTTTTATAAACAATTTATCTTGTTTCGTGACGTCGGCTCACAGTGCGATACCGGCACATTCCACAAAATGAGAGTAGTAGCAATAAAAATAGCACAATTTCACGGCATAAACAATTTTGATTTGGGCGCATATGAATTTTAAATTTCATGTGGAAAGCGTACATGTAATTTTTTTTTCAAATTCATTCATAATGAACAATTTTAATTCGACACAAAATATATTTTATGCGCCAATAATTTTAATTAATTTAATATCCACTTCCCATTCACATTTCTAACAAATTGAGTGTAGATAAGCAAATTTTCGGAAGTTAAACAAAAATTGCTGAATGAAATGGGCTATATTTCACAATGGTTCGTTTCGATTTGCTCTGCAAGCACATTGTCACATGGTGTGAAACGATAATCGTTGGATATTTTTATCAATTTCATACTGGGCTTAATTATTTAAAAAAAAACTACAAAATGGCGAATAAATTAAATCCACACTCGCATCACATCATAAAGCCTTGTGCCCCGTGTGTGTTCATGTCAAGATAATGGAGATTTAAATCTTGGCGATAATGCGTTTTTTCTTCTCTCCGTCTCCGTTGGTTCTGTGACAATGGCACAATTACGCCGCGAATCAGTTTTGATTCATTCGAAAAATGTGTTAGATGTTCAAATCAAAATGAGCATTACCGAAATTCGAACAACAACATTGAGTGCACTTGACACAACGGCAGACGTACTTGCATTCGAAACACCATCATCGCCATCGTGCACAACAAATTGCAATTATCTAACCTCAACCTCAACCTCGACCGCATCACATAATTTGATAAATGCACCGAACCAAGCGAACCATTTCGTTTTACACTTCAGTTGGTTCGATTATGGATTCTTTTTGGGGTTGCTCGGACTATCCACATTGATCGGCATTTACTATGGATTTTTCTCAAAACATAAGCAAAACAATCCAAATGAATATATATTGGGTGGGCGAACGATGAAAATTTTACCCGTTGCAACATCATTGATTGCTACGTTAGTATCAGCCCTTTTTTCACACTCTGTCTCTCTGTGTGTCTTATGCGGATCGAAGCAGACACACAGTGTGTGATAAATCAAATTACATTGATTTTTTTTTGCTCATTTCCGTTTTTTCTTCTCTCCGTGTTGGTAGCCATATATCTGGTCAAACACTGGTCGGATTACCCACTGAAATCTACTCAAATGGAACACAGTACGTGGTTTTTGTGATTGTTGCCATCTTGATAAGCTACCGAAAATTGACACTGATTTTCTTTTCGAAATTTATTTTCGCCGTAAATTTCATTATTGTACCGCAACACACAGTTGGGCTTGTCTTTAACATACGTCTTTTTGCCATTGTATCACAATCTCGGTGTGACATCGAGTTTTGAATATTTGGAACGACGATTCGATCGACGCATTCGACTACTTGCCAGTTTTGTCTATACCACAAAATACATTCTCTTCATTCCACTCGTTATCTACGTACCAGCGCTTGCATTTAGTCAAGGTTGTTATCACTTTAATTTACACATTTTCTTTAATTTACCCTCTCATCAATTCACATGGTGTCTGCCAAAACTTTCGAAAACAGCCGAAAAAAACGGTCGTTTTTCGTTAGAACACGACGTGATAAGAGAGAGAGACTGAGAAGTTTTGACATTATTAATATGATAAAAACACATATTTTCCTCTAGTGAGCGGATTGAATTTACACTATGTTACGCCGGCCATTTGTGCGATATGCGTTTTTCATACGACCATTGGTGGGCTCAGGTATGTCATTCAAAATAATTGCATCGCATAAATTTGTGCAAAACCAAAAAAGAAAGGCATTTTTTTTTTGCAGAGCCGTTGTGTGGACGGATTTTATGGTGATGCTGGCGGCAATCATAATAATTATTCTATTGGGCACAAACAACGTTGGCGGTTTTGCAAATGTGTGGTCAGCTGCCGAACGTGGCGGTCGCTTGATTATGTTCAAGTATAATTTAATTACAATATTTTAACAACATTTTGGCATTTATTATGATTTCGATTTTTGTGTATTCTATTCTAGATTCTATTCCATTCACCTAGCATGGATCTCAGTCCATTTGTACGAACATCATTCTGGACACTTTTATTCCATTTAAACATAAATTTTGCATCGCATGCATGCGTTGGTCAAACAACTGTTCAACGATTTTTATCCCTACCCGATCTAAAAGCAGCCAAAAGGTAGCGTTCATTTTTTTTCTAATTCTTCGACGAAAAAAGCTCGATTCGGTAAAAAATGCGCAAATCAATTTTTAATTCGATGAAAATTAACTCAATCATCTCTTTTTATTCACTTAATTCATTTATTATAAATTCGCTTCAATTTAGATCAGTCATATACTTTGTGATTGGCATAACTTTGCTAAACTTTGGCTTAAATGCTGGCAATTCTCGGATTACTTATGTATGCATCGTACGAACATTGTGATCCAATTCGTTCAGGTATCGTCACGAAATCGGATAAGATGAGAACGGCATTGGTGGCAGAAGTGTTTTTTTTTAAAGCCCTGTTAAGAGTAGTAATGTAGACCGGTCATGCAATTTGTTGTGCATTCAGCACGAACCGGTTCAGTGTGGCGCTGGCCACACTGACTGACAGCATTTGTGACATTTTATGTATGTAATCGAAATGTTCAGAATAAAGGTTTAGTCTTAAAGCAACAATCGAACAAGTCAGTCGTCTTCATTATTGACCAGCCCTCTAAATCCCATTTAGATAGTGCCGTACTATATCGTTCAAATCGGACAAGAGATACCGGGTTTGGCCGGTCTTTTTGTAGCTGGCATTTTTGCAGCCGGCATTTTTGCAGCCGCCTTATCAACAATGTCATCGGCCATAAACACATTGGCCGGAACTATTTATACGGATATTTTTAAAGATTGGTAGGGCAGGGAATAAACACAAATAGTTTTTTCCATCTTCAAACTAGTAATTGTCAAAAATTACAGACGTAAAAAGATTTTTCTGTACAAAAAACTAGTTTTGGCGCTCAAACGGAAAAAGAAGCGAGTACCACAATGAAATGGATATCAATCGGGCTGGGTGTTTTAATGACGCTTCTGGTATTTCTGGTGGAAAAAATGGGCAGCGTTTTTCAAATTGGCACAACAATTGGCGTCATATTTGTCGGAACGTTTTTCGCAATGTTCGTTCTGGGTATGACAAGTCGATCGGCCAATTCAAAGGTGAAACGAAAGTAAATACACAAAAACTGTCTTCTTCTTTTAAAACTGTCTTCAAATCATAGGGTTTAGTGGTTGGCGTTGTTGTGTATTTTATATTGTTGCTGGTGATGATGATCGGTGCACAAATGAATAATATCGCAAAAGAACCAACGCTACCCGTTCAAATTGATGGATGCCCAAATAATTTGTAAGCTTTTCGTTCCATTGTAAAGAAACATTTTTAAATTCGAATTTGTTTGAGTCTATATTTTGGTTGTTTCGAATCACCTTTACGTATTATGCTCTGATTGGTTTTGTGATGTCCATGACCGTGGGTCAATTCGTAAGTTGGATGACCGGTGGTGCATCGCAAAAAATCGACGAAAATCTGTTGATCCCATTTTTCCAAAGTGCCGCATTCAAACGGTGAACGAAGCGAAATGTTAATGACACACAATATGCCACCATCGATCAAATGCTCGTTGAGATGACAAATCTTGATATTGAAAACCATGAGCAAAACGAAACTGAAACGATAATGAATGACAATGATCTACAGCCAATAAAATGATAAATTTCTAACCAACAAATGATAAATTTCTAACCAACGAATGATAAAGCGCTTTTTCAAGTCGAAACGGCGAGAAAAAAAAATGTCATAAATGTATGATTAATAATTCACTGTTGTGTGTGCCGCAAGCGTTCAGAAAGACATACATTTATGCGAGAAATTGAATGATGCTTGCATCATTTGATGCGCATCGATTGTGCTGTCGCCGTACATTCGGATCTTCGGCAGCGCACGAAGTGCTCCGAACGCACAACGAAAGCACTGACGATGCGCATCAAATGATGCAAGCATCATTCAATTGCTCGCATAAATGTATGTCTTTCTGAACGCTTGGTGTGCCGTTGTATTTCTTTGTTGTGAAATATTTATCTCGAATAAATGACTCTATTTGCATGCTGAATAGGAATGTGTTGAAAGCACTTTTGTTTATACTTCTTAAATCCGTCGAAATAGTTTCTGCCAACAGCAGTTGATTGAAGAAGAAAAATGGATGAAGGGCGAAGGGCGTACGATGGCGTTTAAAGAAAGCGAAAGAAAATGCCGAAGAAAGCAACGGAGAGAGTGAATAGATAATAGAAGAAGAAAAGACGTTGCACTGTGATTGTTAATGATTGAAAGAAAAATGTGGAATTAATCAAAATGCTTCGCTTTGCTTCGAATGCAATTTCTCCAATTGAATGAAGAAGAAGAAGAAGAAAAAAATTTGATGGGAAAAAGAGCAACGAACGCAATCTAATGCAGGACCAATGAGGGTATTAATTATATTTAAAGATTTCACAGAAAGCCCAAGACATTATTATATGAAAATGCACGCTTCATTCTCTTTATCTGTCCGTTGTGCACGGGTGTCTAAAAAAAAGTGCGAGTGGGGATGTGTGCACTGTCAATAAAATTGAATTCAATGAAAGACGACCGAGAGATGATGAAGAAAAAATAAGTTGATTGCAATAAACGTTGAGTGCATTCACGCGCAATAAACTAGTTCAAATGGTCATTTAGAAACCGGATCGACTTGGTGTGGTTTGTTTTTGCTATTGTTCACAATGTGAGAACCGCTTCACATGACACAATCAGTGTCATGACTCACTTTCAATCGTTCGAAAAAAAAGCGCATCGGATCAACTAATTGAATTCCTTCAATAACTTTCGATTAAAAATAAAAATCGAAATGCATTTGTCGCTATTTTTTTCCTTTAATTGCAAAAATTCCAATAAAAATTGTTCTTATCATTATTCACAGCCGTCGGTGCTTGAGATTTCACGATATTAATTTTATTGAAATTGAACGAACAGATGGTTACCAATTCGATTGCAAAATGAAACCGTATTACAATAAAATCCGAAATGATTACAAATGTATATCGGCGGTCAAAGTGTGAGTTGGCGAGAATAAAAAAAAACAAAATCTATATAGATTGCTCACGCTCGCGCCTAATGCGATGTGGAAACAAAAATTCTCACATCGTAAACGAAATGCAATATTGTTCCAAATGTTACATTCCTTATCTAGATACAATGGAATGAAGTGTATGTATGTTAAATACAATGGCATCTCGATGGTGGTGGAAGCTACACCACGGCCATTGCCGTTGCCGTTGCTGGAAAGGAAAGTGGAAAAATTGCATTCAACTGGAATGGGCTACAATGGTGTTCGATTAGAAACAACTCTCGACCAATGTGCACTTCATAAAAAAGAAACCCGTAATCTGAATTAAATGTGCAAACGTTTGAGTCTGTTGTTTATTATGCTGCAAAGCAATTCGCACATTCGTTATGAGAGGCGTATGGGAGATAAAATGAAGTGAGAATTTGAAACACACACACACAGAGAGAGAGAGAGGGCGGAAGGGAAAACGAGATGGAGAATGAAAGAAAAATGTTTCGGGATGTTTGAAGAAGGAAAAAAAACCGAGTTCAATTATCTAAAGTGGAATCGATTGAGCATGGACATCCGATCGTATGCCTTTGTCAGAAGTTCTCATTCTATTTTAATTCACTCTCATTCACTGATAACAGAAAGCCCAATGTGCTGCGTGGGCGTCGATTAGTTCCGATAAACACACACACATAGCTCCAATGGTTTTTTGCTCAGTGAATACAAAACAATTCATTGAACTTCGTTTCAATTGACTCGCAACCGATTTTTGTGGGGGCGCAATGAAAAATACACACATTATGCATTGATTGAACATTGCATTTCTGTACAAAGCATCTCTCTCTCTCTGTGTGTTTTCGTGTACGTGGTGACGGAGTAAATTAAACATGAGTAAATTTGTGCGTGTGCAATTTTCACATGGCTAATCAAAATATTTGGCTCGAAGTCATCGTTAATCGCAATGTTCATGTACACATATTACTTACAATCAGATGGTCAAACACATTGATGCGTTAATAATTAGTAAACGGTAACACCTACACCAACCGCACACATTGTTTGAAGCCACTTTTGATCAGCTATTTCGAATAATTTTCTGGCCGAAAAATTAAAATAAAAGAACCCGAAGAGCGTTTGAATGCGTTCTCTATTTTGGAATGCGCGTGTATGTGGCATTATCTAGATAATTACAATGTATTCATAAATACCGAAACATGTAAATTGAGCTAATTTTTCAATTGACATTCATTGCCAGTGTTCAAGTGCTGCTCATTATATTTTATGGTCGTGATTGCATGCAACCGATGTCTACTCGCACATTCTCAGAACTTGGCTCCCCCTGATTGGCTCAACGGCCAATAGATTCATTTTCATAATACCGAGCAGATCGTTGGACGACGATGAAATTATTAAAAATTATTAGATACACACACACACACACTGCAGTAAAATGGTTCATTAGCGACAATTTTCAATAATTATACGGCCATTTCAGTTTGTTACCAACAGTAACTTTTTTTACTGTTCGAAGAATTTTTGTTTAATGTCGATGAAAATAAGATTGAATTAATGAGAGTGTCAGCGAGAGTGAGTGATGCATATTTTAAATGACGGAAACCCAAAAATATTCACTTGACTACGAAAATATGGAGTGAGTTTTTTTTATCGACGTGATCAAAGTAAACTTGGTTTTTTTTTTTTTAATTCAGAATGGTTTTTAATTTATTCCTGTTGAACTCATCAACTTTCGACCTCCTGCTGTCGTCAACAGATTTTAAAGCACGGCTCTTGCATTCACATCGAATAAATAGCCTCTTGCCATTCACATTCATTATTATTGATTAAAGTTAGCTACACATTTTCCGCCCAATTATACGAAACCTCTCATCTCAATTTTTGTGGCTTTTTTCTCAATCTCTTTCCACACTTTAATTTTTGGTATTTTATATTGAACGAAAATTTGATGTGCGTTTATAGGCGACAAGAGAATACATAGAACGACAGAGAGGGATACGGAGTGAGCAAATCGAAAGAGAAAAGATCGAGCAGGGAAAAAAAACTTTAATAATAAAATCATCTGAATTTTGACAATTTGGAAAAATGAAATTGCGATTTCCTCCCTACATTTTCGTCTGTTTGACTATCTGCCGTCCGGGTACGACCGACCCGAAAAGTTTGTTCGGCATTCGTTGCGGTTTCGCGAATATAAAATTGATGATATACGCCGATAATATGAGCCGTAAAAAAAATTTCAGCTCCGGAATAATAATGGCAGTAAATTGCAGCAGCCCCTTCGGTTCAATTTCGGACAATCGGATAGATCATGGAATTCGCACATGAGCACACTTACCACTTCAGAGTGAACGAATCATACTCAAAACATAAACAACAAAATTTCCAACAACAAAAGTTATGATTATCATTGACCCAATTCACGTTTTTAGGGGCCATTTTCATGCCATCCAACTTCAAATCTCATCAAGTGACCAGAGCAATAAACACAAAATTTACATACTCACTACATGCGTCCCCTTTTGCGAAAAAACCACCATTGCACACACCCACACATCGGCACAATGCGTTATCAGATCCAAATAGATGATATCGTCGTAGTCAAATGAAAAAATATCTCTTTTATCTTGCATTGTTTGTTGGTCATACACTTATCGTAATCAGCTCATAACATTTCAAGAGAATTGCTGCCAATTCTTATCTAGAAGCAAATTGTGTGTTGTGAAAGGGGGCTTATTTTATGCCAGAATAAAAAAAAATGATATTGTGGACAATCGACTGGTTGAATCGCTTTAACTTTTGCACAAATCGGGTGGAAATGTACCAAATGCATCATTTTGAAATTGTCAACACGAGATCGCATGTCGACATCAGATAAAACAAAATGTTACCATCAAAACACCAAGCAATTCAGGGTGAATAGAATACACAAATCAAATAATTGAATGCTAAGCCACGACAAAAACACTCAAGATTACTTTTGAAAAACTTTACGTTTTGAAGCAATCACAAAATGGGAGAAAGACACAGCGAGCGATAGCGAAAGCAAAATTATTTGCATACATCTCGTTCGGCGATGGTTTTGGATGAATTTTTTTTTGCCAACTTCTTCTTCGCTTGCCGGTCGGAATCTATCTCGCTACAAAATACGCATATAAAAAAAATCCAATATTTGTTACGTGAGCTGCGTTTAAAATGGCGTGATCCAAGAACGAGTCAAGATATAATGCATGCATGTTACACTAGTGTAATCA